ATTTCTACGAATTGGAGTATTATAAAAACAGAGTAAAAAACCGCTCAGTTAGATCCAGATTAGCTGAATAAAAAAGATAAATTTAAATATGACAACCCACACAAATGACCAATGGTTTATAAATTCACAAACAACAGAAAGAGACCTAGAAAGGAGATAATAATACTAATTAGCAAACCACAGTAATCAAGTAATAAAAAAAGCAACCAACATAGTGCGAGACCTAGGGATTTAATTAATGATATAGGAGGTTATAACATAGATAAGACTTCGACTGAAAAATGTAAGTTCCATGATGAGGGAAATATTATCATTGGGCAGAAAGCAAAAAATTCCAAAATGATGGAAATCATGACTATAGAAGCAAAGAGTGAATATTATAGGAATACACAGTTTTACCTCCTTCCTAATAACGGTGAAACATGGACTAACTATAAATAATGAGAAGTAAAAATTGCGACTCTCGAACCACTTGGTACACCCCTGAATTGTTACTGTCACCCAGTTTTCAACGTACAAGTTCTTAAAATGAAAAGTTAAAGTCTAAAAGTTATAAAAAGTGAAAATCAAAAGTTTTAAGTCGAATTGAAAAGCTCTAAAAAGTTGATGACAATCCGCTGCCAATGAGCCGAGGAATTTTGACGAGTGGGACGTCATTCCAAACCTATCTGTCGTGCAGGTGTGCATTTGTGTTGTCATAAAATCCTCTCGCTCCCCTTCAACCTATGATACGGTCACTCGTTCACTTCTGATAGGCGAGTGAAAATCCGAAAATTTTCCCTGATTCGATGCAACCAAAAATGCAACGGCCGGGCATTTATACAACTCTAGTTTACGAAAAAGTAAAAGGCTGCGAAAACAGTTATGGGTACCAGAACTGGTCACAGGCCCGTGACGCGCCCATTCAGTCCATCAACAGAAGGGCCGGCTATTCTGATAACGGAATGCGAAATGCAAACAGAAGGAACGTATGCGCAGTGCTCTTAAACAGCGTTGTATGTTCTATTTTGCAAAATCTTATCTAGGGAAACCAGTTCTAGCCTAAGGCAGAGTGCCCTAGTTCTTGAGATCGGCATTTTGTGATGCAAATGTCTACCTTTAAAAATATTAAAACGAGGGGAAGTCTGCGCGTATAGGCTGTGATTGGAAGACACAAAGTGTCAATCCTCGGCGCGCCTCGGCATCATGGCCGCATCATGTCAAGAAATGGCCATATATTTTGTGATTCATGCATTATGACTACTAAAGAAAAACAAGATTACCAAGTGAACAGAAAAGGCGAGGAGCATAATTGAAAAACGATAGAAAATATTTATTAAGAAGTATCAATATAGTCACTGGACTAATTACCTCTAACTGTGTAAACAGCAGCAGTAAATGGGTCTTTTATTAATGTTTCTTTCTGCACTACATTCATTCCGTTCTAGTAGTTCAGTTTTAGTAAATTCACATTCGTCACCTGTGCTAATTGTAACATCGGTTCATTTGTAAGAGTCACTATAACACCCAACTGTTTCTGAAATCTCCTTTATCTTTTCTGAGCTCTGGGATGCAGATAACACACAGCTGTGAAGCCTTCTCATGACGTCAGAAAAAAAATTCACACTGATACACATAAACTGTGCATTCCTACATAATTTGCAAGTGAAGTTGGAATTTTAAATATTAACGGCAACAACCCATTATCTACAGCATTCATATATGGTACTGACATCAAAAACTACATTCACAAGTTATATGTAACTCCTAGTAACATACTAGCTCAAACAGATACAAAAAGATGGCAGCACTAGCCACCAGCTTAGTATATGGCTTCATATATGGTCTCAGAGGATGGAAACAGCATAGCAATCTGCACATTAGGTGGCAATTGAAAACCTGTTCCCAACTAATGCGCCTGATTGCATTGGGCTATAGGGACGCACGTACGTTCTACACTGTACACAACCTTTGTAAGCTAATGTGAAACCATATGAGAAATCCCCAACTGAATGCACATTTTCCCCTGGCATATATAGCTCCACCCACCTGCTAGACAGACTAGGTCAGAATAGCAGACTACTTGGGAACCAAGAAAAGGACATGTGTAAAATCACATATGGAACGATGCATAGACGCATTCTCATGTGAGGGAAAGCCACTGATCGTTTCATGTTAACAAACAGCACTGCAGAACTTTCAACAAGAGCCGCAGAGCGACTGGGCTCATCTGAGGTCTGTTGCTACGGTTATAAACGTAACATTTCAGTCGTGCGTAGTGACACCTTTGTTAGGCGCAGATATGCAGTTGCGTACACATCTTTTCAGCAAACATTTTTTTTATTGCAGAGAGAGAGAGAGAGAGGAAGAGAGAGAGAGAGAAAGAGAGAGCGGGCGAGAGGAGAGAGAAGGAGAGAGTCAGCCAGACTAAATTGTTTATAAACAAATAACACCCACGTGGCGCGCTACTGTATCAGTTACGTCATCGATTGAAATGTACATTCCGATTTCGCCGCGCGGCGTCCAAACTTTCGACGAAGATGGCAGGCAGAGGTAAGGCTAAAAGATTTCTTCAATGTCGGGAAGGATCAACACATTTCGACATACTTCTCACTCTGTTCCGATAGATGGCGTGCATACTGACTATGTGCAGGGAACAGATAATCCGAACTATAGTGTTGCTACCTTCGTTTAGCCCATGCTGTGATGCTATCAGCCACCCACTTGCGAGGTAGAACTATTTATAGTTGGCCTTAATCAAAAACAGACGTTTGCGTAAGTGCTATTAACATTGTATTCCCAACGTACAGAATCTCATATAGAGAATGAAGTTCATATATGATTTATTCCAAGGCTACTCATTACACTTTTAGACTTACACTACACATTTAAAAGGTGATAAAAAGCTAAAACATTATTCTTTACCAATAATAACGTTTTGATTGTATGATAATAAACTAACTTGAGATATGAATAGTAGTTCCAAGGCTACTCATTACACTTTTAGACTTACACTACACATTTAAAAATATTTCAGTGTTGTCTAAAAAAATATCAATGAAATTAATAAAAAGAAAACCAGAAATACTTACAGATTCCGCAACCTTTCAGAAACAGGAGCAAACTATGTGCCACCTTATCTGCCTGTAACACAATAGCAGAAGTGTATGAAACACCTGGGATCAAAGCACACTATCTTGAAATTATTATGCATAAACATCTGACATTAAGTAAATAAACCTTTCTCGTTTATTAACAATGGATGGGCTTCATAAAAACTTGTCTCCTACAATAACTTCACTTTTATGCTAACTACTTTTCCAATATAACTATGGAAAAGCATTAGCCATCAAATATAATTACGTACCAAGTACAGTAATCCAGCAGAAATTCTAGAATTATATGCAATAAATGTGTAAAGCTAAATTCCGTTACGAATTCATATCTTTTGTGAAGAGCTAATGTATTTGCAGCCATCAGCCAGAGTGCAAACGTGATTACGGCCGTCTCGTACTCACAGCTTCAACGAGGACATCGCCAACGCCATCTATTATAACTAATGAGCTCTTAGTCGGAGGCAGATGGGAATGGAACGTCTGCGTTGTATGTAGGTGAGATGCCTTTGAGCCCACAACTATGAGAACGTCGACGCTGCAACACAAATAACACGATTAATCACACAGCAAATAAGACGCGCTAGTGTGTAGTGATATCGTAGGAGACATTGCCTAGGTCAACAATATATGAAGGTGATAAACCTATAATGCATGTACACACTACAGTGGCTGTTCAGGGGACGTATTCAGCAGTGATAATATTTAAATGAAACCAAGTCAGCCCTGTAATAACTAACAATGTCATGCAAGCCTTCCCCCAACCAAACACAGTATATAAAACTGCCAAGCACTGGCTAGCTATAGATCGTGGTGCCATCCTTAGAGCTGGTGACACTCCTAGCACTATTGACTACATAATATCATCACCATGGTCTCAAAACCATCGTTGATATCCGACATCGCTCTATACGAATATCCATATATCACTGCCGAAAAAAATACGCCTAGGTCTGGTTGCTTCACCCCAACCCACTAATAACCCTGTACCGACTGCAAATTTAATATGGTATCAAACTGGTGCACGCCAGGTGCGCGTCAAATGTTTGCAGTGTGTACATGCTATATCCTGCTCCAAATACGCTCTGGCCCGCACCAATTTGGCCCCGCAAATGAAGGAGGGCCAGAGGCCCGCTTCGAAGCGGGCTAACTTGGAGCGTACCAGGCCCGCGTCAGATACGCAGGCCCTTCGCAATACGCATGCCCAGCCTTATTTAGGGTGATACTCCATTAGGAGTGTTCCCAACTTTAATGTCATTAATGGTCATAATAACATATATATATATATGGTCATGGTCATATATTAGTTTGTGGTTTAATGTCATTTAGGTTAGGGTTAGGGTTAGGGTTAGGATTATCAATCATTAATCATAAATCATTAATGATATCAAAGTTGGGAACACTCATAACGGAGTGTTATAGCCCTTATTTAGGTCACATAAAAGTACAGTATACCTGTCTGTCGAGTGACCAACAGCTGCCAACCACTGCAGCAACCAGCAGCGAGTGCTGCAACCAGCAGCGAGTGGGGGTTAGTCTGTGCCAACTTAGCCCGCTTCAGAGTTTTGTGTCTGTACATTATGATTTGTCTGTACGGAGTATAATAATATGCATCTTGCCTCATGTTGCAGAGCTGAGCAGAGATGTCGGTGCGGCTGACGAACGACTGCACGTATCTGTTCAAGTTCTTCGGGTTCATCTTCGTCTTCAGATGATCGGTGTAATCCTCCAGCATCACGTCCCTCTCTTCCTGCGCAACCTCAACCAACTTCTGCTCAGAGGAAAGAGAGAGAGAGAGCGATGACGGATTACAACATGGGACACGAATCGACTATACGTTTCAATGTTATCGTGAAATAAACTTGTGTTCTGCTTTTTACGATCACACCACGTGTGTTTGTGGGTAGCATGATGCGTGATTTCATTCTAGAAATCAGCTTAGCGTAAAATTGCCTAATTCTTCACTGTGAATCTCGTTTTGCCTTGATATATATATTGACTAAACAAGCCAAAAACCAAAAGGGGTTAAGTATATATATATATGTATGTATATTTAACCCCTTTTGATTTTTGGCTTGTTTAGTAGTTTTTAATCAACAGATTATAGGCAGAAAATTGAATATTTACTGAGAACTGAAAAAAGCTTGATATAGTAACTGTGAACTGAGATTTGGCGTATCCCACCAGAACTCTCAGGAAACATCAACGTTCCATCTCTCCACCCCCACGTGGCTCTCGCAGAGCAAGCCAGGCCATGTTCACATGATCACGAGTATTGTCACACAGTCTACGGTGTCAACTAGGGAGCAGGCAACAACAATTACTAACTGACCACACGGCTCCTGTTTACGACGTACAACGGCGCAATTAAGCTTACAAGATTATTCGATTATAAAGGAATATTTGTTCACCCCTAGAGATGCATGAAGATCATTAACGATAACATGGTAATTTTCTCGGTGGCAATTACTGATTGATGAAAAACGTGAAAAATCCCGAGGCTTACTTAAGTGAGAAATTCCGTCTGAACTTGAGTACAGAAACATGCAATCAAGAAGTGCCCCGTGCTCCCGGCTAAATATATCAAACCTATACTCATATTTCAGAATAGCGGTATTTTTTGTTATGATTTCCTTACATTGGCAGCAATTAAGCAGTACAAATTATTTTCAAATAATCAGTAAATAACTCTCTGTTTCTATTGTCTTAAACAGACAAATTAATCGAAATTTTCTTTCAACATTGATAAAAATAGTAGTTTCTGACACCAGCGAAGCAAGGCGCCTTATCAACTACCAACTAACGTGCTTCATAGGTTAGAATATACGCGTGCAATTGCAACAGGCACACACATTTAACCAAAATTCAATAAGTCTGCAAACACAAATGTCAGTAAGTGTTGTAAATGTTTAACGATTACAAAAAGGTTCATAAACGTGAAAAGATTATCATTTTATAAAAGAAATCATAACTTTATTCATAGCCTTCATGCATAATAGTCACCTGTCATGGCATGATGATTGCACACCCTATATTTCAGTGCTATCACACAACGTTCTGTATTCACGTAAAGATCTATAGAAAACTTCAATTATTTCACGCGTTACGGCACCCTCATCTTACCACCAATCACATCTTTCCATGGTGATGCCTGCATACTCACGTACGTATACCGTACCATGCCGTAGGGAAACGATAGTCCCGGTTAGAATAGAATATTACAACGAGACATATCAATAAGAAAATTTTATAGAAAATTCACCTAGCTACATACCAACATAACCTAATACGGCAAATACAACGACCGCGTACACGCACGCACGCACGCACGCACACAAGTGGGACGCAGCGCACACACGTACGCACGCGCGCACAGAGACGCGGGCGCTCATACATTCAATAAGGTGCGTACATATGTGCACACTAAACAGCTCATCTTTGTGTACATATAAATATCTGCTGTGTGTGTGCACATTGAACAGCAGATATTTACAAAACAATCGGCGCACATGAGTAGACAGTAGAGTGTAGAGAGGCAGATTTCTACACACAGAGCAGAGTTTTACAGTTCAGATAAGAGGAGTTCTAATATCGTATAGAACGATATCGAAGATACATATCGATACATATCGAAGTGATAACTTTGAAAAAGCAGCGTAAGCCCTTCATAAATAACTCCTAACACGTAAAACAATAAAACTAATAAATTTACAGATGCAGAAAAATTAAGAACAAGAGCCGCAAAGCGTCTGGGCTCATCTGAGGTCTGTTGCTACGATTATAAACGTAAAATTTCAGTCGTGCG